AAAAATTCCTTTCGCAAAACTTCTACTTTGGTTTTTCAGAACATTTTATTCTCCAAATAAATATTCATTTCATTCTCCAAATAAAAAACTGCTGAATCTTCTGAGGAAAAAAAAAGAGGGAAGGATCATCTTTGATCATGCAGAGAGTTGATTCCAAAATGCAGAACAAAGGTAGGAACTTGATCACAAGGACTGTGTGAAACAGTGAATGCTTTAAGGAGACAACCGAGCTCTTTATAAAGAGGTCATTTCTCCTCTACACACTCCCCCTTTCATATAGAAATGGCTGTAGTTTCCAATCATGGCAAGGGCTGGGCTGTCTTTCTTCCACCAAATGCTCTGCTAGCCGACAAAGACCATGGAGCTGTGAAACAGAATGGGAGGGAAAGGCTGGTAAAGGAGTTACTTAAGGCAACATGATCTTAATTGACAAATAAAGGAGTTAACAGCTTACACCGTCCCTCAGGGAAAAGTGAAGATCCAGACTAGGGCCAACATGCTTAATTCCTACTTTTCCAATTTTTTGGAAGTCAAAGGTTTTCAGAAAGACAAAAATGCCAAAGACCTCAAATGCCATTATGAGGCTCCTTCCACAGGAATTTCTCCAACCAAGAACTATGCTTGTGAAGCAGAGACACCCAGGATGAACAACTCAGGCCCGTCTGTAATTTATAGAGGCTCATGCTTCCCCCTACTGTCAAGGCCAAAAGATAAATAGATTTCTATTATTACTACAGCCTAAAATTCCTAATGGCCTAAGGGAAGCTTATGCCCACACTTTTCATAGCAAATCTGTAAAGATGGGAGCCAGGGAGCAGCGAGGCAGATGTAGCACTTCAGAATTACAGACTACATATTTAATGTCATCAATGCAAATTTAAGTTATGAAAAAAATAAGTCATATGCCAGTGAATGATTTATGCTTGCTGGAGTGAGAGGCTACGAGAGGACCAGTTTCTGCAATGAGGGCCTAATGAAATGTCAGAGCCCCTGACAGTTGTAGGTGCTAACATGAGGTCTGTTCAAAAACTGCTTAGGAATCCCCACAAGAATCAGCCCCCACACCATGGCCAGGGATTTGGTATCAAAGCATTTAAAGCAAGAGAGTTGGAAAAGATATCTTAATAACCCAAGAATACACACCCCCACCACCGCGCTTGCCCTCTCCATGGCAGCTATAGAACATCTGATCTGCTGAGCACTGTGAACCATTAGAGCTGTCAGACAACATATGGGTGGCACAGGCACACACAACAGATGTTAGGGCTGACACGGAGGAGCACACATGGGGTTAGAGCCCACCCCACCAGAGTGAGCATGAGATCTGCTGAGTGCTGCCCACTTCAGAAGTGACCATGCAAGAACTGGCAGGCGGTACAAACCAAACACACTTGAATCTTGGACATTCTATTATTTTAGAAACTAATACAGTTGGTTAGGCACAAATGTTGAGTGTTTCTAATGATCTTTTTTTTTTTCTTCTTTTTTTTGGTCTTTTTTCGTGACCGGTAACGGGATCGCAACCCTCATTGTCGCGCCCACACTGCGCTCAACCAGTGAGCGGACTGGTCTCTATATGGGATCCAAACCCTCGGCGGGAGTGCCGCCATGCTCCCAAGCGCCGCACTCTACCGAGTGTGCCACTGGGCCGGCCCTCTAATGATCTCTTTTTAAGACATTTCCCTTGGGTGCCTATTTGTATTATAGGATGAATACAGTGAGAATTGGATAAGTGACCATAAAAATAATGGTGTTTGCCAATTCAAAACAAGGGAAATAAATGCATAGGTTTTTTCCTGCTACTGCTGGAGAACTGTGTCACATACCGCTCCTCAGCAATGTGTTCCACGAGCAAGGCTGTGTGTGGCCCACCAAGTCATCATACTGAGCTCCCTGTGTGTTCCATATACCTGCCAGCCCCCAGGACTCAACTTTGCAGGAAAAAGATCTGATGTTTTAATGTCAGTGAAACTTTTCAGNGTTTTCTACCTGCTCTCAGCATATAAAACAACAATAATAATTTCAGCAAAATAAATGTGTATAACTCTCCTGTATATGCTGGGCACTGTACCATGTGTCAGAAACATCAAACTTAATTTTCCACAAAACCCTCATATGTTATTATCCCTTATTTTAGAGGAAAAACTGGACAAATGTCACATGGCTCATAAACGCTGAACGTTGGATGCAAATCCAGCTGTTTGGCCTTTCTTACATTTTNGCCATCTTTCAATAAGTCTCACACATTAGTTTTCCCTACAGCATTTAATAGTTTGCTCTTTAGTTGCATCTCAGATGAAATAGGTGCTTCATGTTTAGGGGCCACGTTTAAAACAAAGCATGTTTTCTACCTGCTCTCAGCATATAAAACAATAATAATAATTTCAGCAAAATGTGTAAAACTCTCCTGTATATGCTGGGCACTGTACCATGTGTCAAAAACATCAAATTTAATTTTCCA